CCTTCCTTCCTTCCTTCCTTCCTTCCTTCCTTCCTTCCTTCCTTCCTCCCTTCCTCCCTTCCTCCCTTCCTCCCTTCCTGTTTTGTTTTGAAACAGGGTCGCCTATAACCTTGGCTGGCTACACGGCTGAGGATGGCCTTGAACTCCGGCTTTGCCTGCCTCCACCTCCCAAGTGCTACGATTATAGATGTGTGTCACTGCACCTGGCAAAGCGCTTCCTTTCCTTAGCAACAGAGTCTCAAGTCCTATGACTTGTATGTCCAGACATGATGAAATTCCGGGGACAGCTCATGTTTTTCAGCATGAGCCGTTAAATCACCTGTGAGGAGTAACAGAGCAGGAAGCTATCTAAATCCTTCAGATACCACCTTACGTGGGATGCCCGTGTACCTCTTCCCTGCTCTGTTTTGTGTGTGTGTGTGTGTGTGTGTGTGGTGTGTATATACATACACTTTCATGCAATGTGTGTACAAATACAGATATACATCTGTGTGTAGAGGCCAAAGGCAGATGTAGGGTGTCTTCCTAAACTCCTTTCCATCGTGTTTGTTTGTTTGTTCATTAAGACAGAGTCTCACTGTGTAGCTTTGGCTGGCCTGGAACTAGCTATATAGAGCAGAGATTCGCCAGTTTTAGCCTCCCAAGTGCTCCCTGAAAGGCAGGCACCACCACACACTACTGTGTCCACCTTTTTTTTTTTTTTTTTTTTTTCAAACATGGTGTCAAGAAGCTGAGTTTAGATCCTCACGATGGCATGACAAGGGCCTTGCCAACTCAGCCACCCCCATCCCCGAGTCCCCATTTCTCTCCAAGAATGCCTTTCTCCATCCTTCAGACCTCAAATAGCACAGTTGGCAGGCAGGTCCCACACAGTCTATTGTCTTGTTTCTGCTCATGTGTTTTTCCCACTTTGAAGCTCCAGACTCTCCCACACAATAAAGACAATCGGTGCTTGTTAAGCGCTGACTGAACAAATGCAAGGGTAATGAACGTCTGTGATCAGCCGATTTCTATCAATCAAAATACAAAATGGGAATTAGACAAGAGCAGCGGGAAACTACTTGCTATTGTATACTGCCTGTCTCTGCCAGTCCCAGGAAAGACCCAGGATAGGCACGGGTGCCTAGGAACGTGCCAAGGGACCTCTCAGAACTACTGCCTGTGGGGAATCCTTTTGCCCTAGTATCTGAGGCATTCTGACTCTAATCTGGACCAGGCTTGAGAGGGACCAAAGAAGCAATACCCCTGGCAGAACAGACGGATGATTCACATGGGCAGAGGTGCTTCATACACAGTCTATTCTGATGACTTGAACAGGTGCCCAGTAGGTCAGCACCGACAGAGCTTGGTGAACTTGGACAATTTCCAGGACCACAGTGCCTTCCCTTCTAAACCCAGGAGGGTGGGTTAGATAGGATTAAAGTTTTGCCTCCCAGTGATGGTCTGGGGCCGGGGGTCGGGGGTGGTTGGGATGGGGGTGTAGGGGTGACCTGTCTGGAAGAGGCAGGGAGTGAAGCTCTTCTCTTTCTATCTGAGCTGCTATTTGTGGGGATAGTGCGGCTGAGGCATTCTCTCCTCTGGCCAGCGTTCTTTGGGTCAGGAGGGCCAGAATGTAAAGCTAGATAGGTAACCAGAAAGCCTGCTCCATGGCTTCTGCCTGGATTTTCTTCGGGAATCCATCCTCTACCCAAGACTCTGCTGAGACTAAATAGAGTCCTGCCGATTCAGGAGTTAGGAGACTCCCACTTCTGGGAGACGGAAGGCAGATACTTCCCAGCCCAGCCAAATGGCCCTGGGGGCCACGGGCAGAGGACTCCTTGGACTCAAAGAGCACTAAGGGTTTGGACATTGAGTATAATCTGGGGATTTAGTGGACTCTCCAGGTTCCAGAAGATCCTAAACCCAGTGACTGTTCATTCTAAACCTAATTTAAAGAAGGCTCAGTTAGAAATGGAAAGTATTAAAGTCTGTCATCCTTCCTCAGTCTGAGTGGCACTTTCTTCTCCCTAATTTACTTGGCCTGATAGGAAATGAGGGCCTGTGGGGAACCGGCACAGCACGGTGACCCCTATTACCTGCTGTCCTATCATTAAGAGTCATTTACTTGGGGTGAGGTGACTTTCACTCCTCTTTAACAATCCAGGTACTCAGCTGGACACAGCGGCACACACCCAGTACTCAGGAGGCTACAGCAGGAAGATTCCCTTGAGTTCAAGCCCTCCTGGACTAATAACAGTGAGCTCCAGGCCAGCCTGAGCTATAGAGTGAGACCTTGTCTGAGGACACTAATTAATTTACTTTAAAAAATAATTCATTCTCTCTACACATATTTTTAAGTACCTACCATGTTCCAGATTCTACAGTAAGTTTTGGGGGTATACTAGAGGAACAGTACAAGAGACGATAAGAATACACAGGAGAGGAGTTGGAGAGACGGCTCTGTGGTTGATATCACTGGCTGCCCTCACAGAAGACCCGGGTTTGGTTTCCAGTGCCCACATGGTGGTTCATAACCGTCCCTAACTCCATTCTAGAGGATCTAATGCCTTCTGTTGGCCTCCACAGGCATACATTGGTACACATGCGTCCATTAAGGCAAAACATGCATACATAAAAAATCAAATAAATAAATCTAAAAAAAAAAAAACAACCAGGAAAATGACAAAGTGGAATTATGGGAGAGTATCTGGAGTGGGAACAGAATTTTAAGTAAGTGATCACAGGACGGGCTTCAGTGAGGAGGTCATCTGAGCTGAGACCTGAAGGATGGGCTGAAAGTTGCCGTATGAGGATCAGAGAGAGGAGTGCTCTAGTTGGAGGGGGTTACAGAGGCAGAGCTCTGACTGGACAATGATCCTGGTGTGTTTCGGAAAGGACACCAGCACAGCTCCAGTGTGTCCACTCCTGCAACAATTCGATCTTATTCAGAAAGCAGACTGCCACAAATGCAGTGAAGCATCTCAAGATGAGGTCATGCTGGCTTTAAGGCGCATCCTACACCAGAAGACTGGAGGCTTATATGGGAAGAGAGGAGGAAACCCGGGACACACAGATGCAGACAGAGGTCACATAGAGGTGGTGACAAAGACTGGAGGAGGCATCCTCAAGCCACAGACTGCCCAACATTTACAGCAGCCCCCAGAAGCTACAGAAGACAAGGGAAGATCCTAAGGATGCAGACAGCAACTAACAAAGGACAGGTTCTCTGTCAGCCCTCTGACGGGGGCTTATCAGCATCTTAACTGTGGAGTCTGACATTCACAACTGTGAGAAAGTACATTTCTATTATCTATCTATCTCTCTATCTATCTATCTATCTATCTATCTATCTATCTATCTATCTATCTATTTATCGGCAGGGTCTTTAACTTTAACTCAGGCTGTCTGGGGCTCACTATGTAGTCCAGGCTGGCCTTGAACTTATGCCATCCTTCCAGGTGCTGGATTACAGGCAGGAGCAGCACACCTGTTTCTTTCTATTGTTTTTAAGCCACTAAGCCTGTGGTAATGTGTCTGCAAACCCTAATAAGAGAGGCTAGAAGTTTTGTCGAGAAGATCCATGCCAGCCAACTACCCATCGATCTACCCACCCCTTGGTTACTGTGTAGAGAATGAAGCCTATTGAGGATACCAAAAAGAATGGCAGGAAGGCAGGCAAGAGACTACCGTAGCAGCATGCACATGGTAGCTGAGTGTGCGTGACACAACAGGAAAGGAAAACGTAAAGATGACATGGCTAAAGAAATTGTCAGGAACTGGCTGGGGAGGGACAGCGACTTGTCTTTGGGGAGCTTCCAAGTCCCCATAGAACCCGGTATTCCTCTAAAGCAGACAGGTGACTTGAAGGGGAATTTCTGGAAGGAGACAGGAGGAGGGGAAAGGCCAGGAAGTGTGGCAAGATGAAACCTAAGCTGAAATGGAAGTTTTGGTTTATTTAAAAACTCAGTTACGTCATGCAAGGTTTTTGTTTTTATCCCAAGGGTGGGGTTTTAGTTTGGGCTTTAGTGTGTCCCCAGCTGATAACTGCCTCCTGGTGGGTGTGATCTTTGCCAGCTGGTAATTGCCTCCCTGGAGCAGCATGGAGCATGTGGCACAGAGAGGGGCGTGGCCTAGGACTCTGAGGAGCACAGAAAGAGAAGATGTGTCATATGGTGCAGGGCAGTTTGGAGGGACTGGAGTTGGACGGTGTGGTGGCTTAACAGAAGCGTCTCAATGCAGCGGCTTGGAGAAGACTGCTGGCTGCGATTTCTGTTGATGGAGATTGGGATAGTCCCAAAAGAACCCAGTGACCCTAAGCAGCTGGGGGAAGCAAGGGGTCTGCGCCCCCTTTCCCCACTAAGCTTCTCTCTCCTACTTAGGATTGGGGGGTTGGAAGGGAGAGGCTTTAAGGAGCCCCAAATAAAGCAGAGTTGAAAAAGGAGCACAGCAGTCAGGGACTGTGCCGCCTCCCTGCTCGGCTGCGGCACAGGACATTGCCTGTAACTGAGTGGGTGTCGCACAGCCTCTTCTAAACTCCAGGGCCACCCGTGCTTGGAAGTGTCCCTGATTTTGTCTTAACCCCACTCTATTCACAGACCTTCTCCTCCGGACTCCAACAGCAGCACCCCGTACCCCTTCAGGACACATAGCCAGCGTCAGTCACTGAGCTGCTGTCGAGCCTGGCTCACTCCACGCATGCACACCCAGAAGCTGGCCCAGTCAGCCAGGAGCAGGCCAGACACGAGATGCACTTCCCTTTCTGGCTTCCACAACAGAAGAGAGGCAAATCTCTACACAGCAGGGGGCAAGGGCCGGTGATTTTTTCTCTCTGCATGAGCTGATTTATCACCGGACTTGGAGGAACAGGACATGAGACAATAGGGGCAGCTCTGGTCCTGAGACAGTGGGAACCATCAGGGCCACCTACCTTGGGAACATTGTGATCATTCTGGATCTCATTGCTGGTCTCTGCTGGGGCCTGGTGGGCCCCCAGGCTGCAGCTCAGCTCTGGAGGTGCCCCTTCCTTTTGCTTTGTCTCCGGATCTGGACCAATGATGCCCTCTATCCTTCCAGAAGAACTTGGCGGAGCCTTCTCCCTGATTTCAGCCCCCTCCTCCAGCGTATTCGCATCTGGGCTTCTTTGTCCGAGCCTGTCCTCTTCGTCTGCTACCCTCTCCTCAGAGGCTGTCCCTGCTGTGACCTTCCCAGTGTCTGTACGCTCTCCAGGGGTGGGCTCTTCCAGTGGGCTTCCACACCCATTCTCAGCCTGTGGGCTGCAGGTGTGGGGTGACTGCAGGACCTCAGGACTGCCCTGGCTAGCTGTGTCTGGATTCTGTCCAGCCTTCTCTCCGGCATTGCCCTCCTCTGGGGTCCCGATCTGCTCCTCTGGCTTCTCTGTGCTGTTGCACATGCTCCTCCTCGAAGGCTTTTCGGCAGCCCCCAGGGTCCTCTCCACCCCATCTCCCATGGCCTTCTGGTTGGGTGTGGGAGACCCTGGCGTCTTGCTCTTGCTAGGGAATACATCGTCCCCATTCTCATCCCTGGCACCGTTTTCCTGAGACACTTCCACAGCCCTGTAATCTCTGAGGTCCCCACAGTCCGACTGAGACCTTCGGAATCGCCGGGAGGGAGGACGTCTTTTTATCGAGCCTCTAGTCCGAACCTGGGAGAAGACATGAGGGACTGTTAACTTAATAAAAAACAAAACAAACAAACAAACAAAACCCAAAGCCAAGAGGAGGACCATGTGTACTGAACAAACCCACTGCAGGACCATTTTGTTTCCTAGGAAGGTGTAAAGTTATTTGCTGCTTATAATGATCAGAATCTAGAGGTTTGTAAAAACGACATGGTAAACCGCAGACTTTTGTCTCAGGAAGATGTAGATGCTTTCCATGGGCTAATAACGTGGGCGGTAGCTCAGTGAGTGACGTGTGAAAGCGTGAGAGTCTTGAGTTTGCATCCCCAACATCTGTATAAAAAACATGGAAGGTGCTGGGTGGTGGTGGCACTCGCCTTTGATTCCAGCGCTTGGGAGGCAGAGGCAGGTGGATCTCTGTGAGTTGGAGGTCAGTCAGGGTTCAATTACACAGAGAAACTCTGTCTTGACAAAACAAAAACAAAAACAAACAAACAAAACCGAAAACAAGCCCGTTGTGGTGGCGCATGTCCTGGTAGGATTTGCTGAAGGAGGCAGAGGCAGGAGGATCACAAGTTTGAGGCCAGCCTGGGCTACTCATGAAAACAAACAAACAAACAAACAAACAAACAAACAAGGAAGGCAACCCGTGTGTTTGAGACAGTCAGTCCTTGGAACTGGCTGGCCAACACTGTAGCCAATTGGTGAGCTCTGGGTTTGACGAGAATGCCCCCAAAACACTGTGGATGAAGTCTTTTCACAGTAAACTTTACCCTGAGTAAAGTTTCCTCGGCACACCACAATGAGACGGCGCCAGAACTCACCTTGTTGTAGGAGGGCAGGTGAGTCCCCTCCGGAGGCTGGTCAAAGCTCACAGGCACCTCTTCTGCCTCACCTGGCTGAGAGCGGAGGCCAGGGCTGCTGGGTGTGGAGGGGGGGCTGTGAAATGGTGACACCATGGCCTTGAGTCCAGGACTTTTGGGGGAAGCTCCAGGCAGGAGAGCTGCTGGGTCGAAGGCTAGGTTGGCCTGGGAAGAAATGGGAGAAGCTGAGGCTTCTGCTCTGGCCTCCCAGCAGGCTGGGACAGTGACTAGGAAGCTTTGTACGCTTCTCCCCGGCCAATTATCCACCGTTACTTACACTGTGGCCGCCTCTGAAAGCACAGCCTACCCATAACTGCAATCTGGCTGACTGCAGGTTGCCTTTTCAGATGCTCCGATGATGATGAAGTGGATTCGATACAGACCCTCTCAACAAGAGTAGAACAGCCCTGGCCTGACCTAGTGGTACATGCCTTTCATCTTGACTGAGGAGGCAGAGGCAGGCAGATCTCTGAGGAGGCAGAGTTTGAGGTCGGTCTGGTCTACATTAGGGAGCTCTAGGTCAGCTGGGGCTACATGAGTGAGACCTTATCTACTAATAACAGTAATAAATAGTGATGACGATGACGATGACGAAGAAGAGGAACCTTCTGCTCCCAGTTCTTGCAGTATTTGACACCCATGTCATCCTCCCATTAGCCAATAGCGTTTGCTGCTTTTTGAAACCTGCTGTGCACAGCTGTCACCTCCGCAACCACTCTGTGCGGTCAGGGTTCATCTCCTGACAGAAGTTAGGAAGGCAGATTAACTCTCCTGGGTTTCTCGGCGGGTCTGCTTGTCTCTCAGGCCTCCGGGAAGGGCTCTGTCTTTGGGGACGGCAGGATGGCGGGCACTGTGCTCTTCAGGGGGTGTGTGTGCCAGCCAGAGCACCACAATACAGGTGAAACCAGATCCAAATGGGCGTGAAGGGAGACCAAAGACCAGGGGAGAGTTACTCAAAGGGAACCTAAGCCTAAGGAATCTACAGATTTGGCTGGGGGACAGGTGGGACCCCAGATCAACCTTATGGACAGTGGCGCAGGAAGAAGGTTATGGGAGGATTATGTATGAACAGCCCAGACAGTGTCTTGTAGAGCCCAGGCTAGCCTTCAACTCATTATGTAGCTGGGAATGACCTTGACCTTCTGACTTCCTTCGTAGTGCTGGGATTGTCGGCCTGCCCCACCGTGTCCAGTTTTTCGAGGTGCTAGGAATTGAACTTAGAATTGAATGGGACTTAGGTCACCAGTACACAGATTTTTAGCGCCACCTAGAGGCACACCTCTTCCTCCTGCCCTCGGTAGTTCTAAATCTGTCTGTTGAGTCCTGTAAATCTAACTGGGCTGATCAGGCCCCCCAGAGGGGAGACAGGCAGGAGAGGCAGGAACACAACTCTAAATACAGGTTCTTTCTCTTAAAAGCTGCTGTGTGGCCTTTAGCAAATCTGAACATCCTTTCCAAGTCTCAGGTCCTCCATCTGTCCCAATTTTTAGCCTGACCTCCACAGACTTCTACGGATGATTTCTGGTTACTCTCAGGCATTGCTTGGCGGATACCCCACACCCACAAAGTCTTCTCCAGTGCTCCCCTCGGGCAAGACTGATGACCCTGAGGACTCACAAGTGTCTTTAGCACTCCCAGACCACAAGGGCGTTATGTGCGTTTAGGAAGGTAGCCTTCAGGTGGCCTTAAGGACGAATGCACAAAACAGACCAGACTGAATTGTGAGAAGAGTTAACGTTAGGAAACGAACAAGCACCGTTAAGCCCAGACTGTGTTAAGGTGGGGGAGGGGTGAGTAGCATATGACGCATATCAATGAGAAGGGCAGGACCACTGCTGCCCGTGTGCAAACGCTTGGCACTTACCTGCAGCTTCTCGATCAGAGGTGAGCTCTTCACCTTGATTTTAGGGGGGTGGCTGGCGCTGGACGGTGATTTCTACAGAGCAAACAGACCAAAGCAACCAAGTAAGCCAGAGGGAGGAGGGGGACGGAAGGTTCTTAAGCCTTCACCGCTTCAGTGCCACGGCCACTTACCTCAGGCCCAGATGAGACAGGCTTCCTGTCCCCAGCCCCCTCATCTCACCACTAGCCAGACTGCTTGAGTTTGAGCTGAGAGGCGAGGGCTGGGATTCCTACCACAGGAAGCCTCCCATCCCAGGTCAGTGTCTTCCAGGAGGAAGAGCTACAGCTCGGTGGGAATCAAGAACTCCACCTCAAGGCCTTCTACAAGGCAAGCCAATGGGTGGAGGGAAATCCACAGACGAGAGGCAAACTCGGTCATTCACTCTCTTGCCCCACACAAAACAATACGTCACAGGCTGGAGTCGGAATTAGGCAGAGGCGTTATTACAATCCCTCCTTTGGGTTAATATTTTGGAAAGTTCTGCCGACGGCATGGTTCACATGCCAGGATTTCCCCAAGCACTGCGTATTCATTTAATCCAGTGGATTTCAGTGTTAAGATTTAAGATTCAGTATTAGGTATCTAGCAGCCCCACTGTGTGTCGTGTTGGTTATATGAAGGTGAATGCGTTTAGTCTCTCCCAGCAGTCAGTGGCTGCTAACTATGATGCAGGTTCTGTAAACTACTCTTGTGATCAGGGCACACCACAAATCATTCCTGCTCCCAGATTATATATTTGTAAAAAGACTGGCTCTTTGTTTCATGCTAAGTTCCTACTACTATGCAAAAACTGATGGCAGTCACATGACAATTAAATGACGGTGAAGACACAGAAGAGGCCTTTCATGTTGCTAGACGGCGCCAAGCACGGAAGGGATTTCTCCAATAGTGTGGGACCAATCTCCATATACGACTGCTGATCTCTGGGTAATATTCTGGGACATCTGTTTGTGTTTTAGTTGTAGAAAAAGAGAAACTGACGCAACTGATCCCCCGTGGCCCTTTCAAACACCAATGTCAAAGGAATGCATGGGACAGAGGATGGGTCAGCTGATAGCTGCCTCCTTCTGACTCCAACCTCACTCCAGTGAGTGTCAAGATCCTCCAGCCCCAGGTGGGAAGCTCTTGGTTTCTGGGCTTTACAAAGGAATTTCTTTCGTTATGTTTTGGAAGTTACAGTTTCATAAACTACAGCAAAATTTTTTACTACCAAAGCTCATTTTAGGTAATATTATAAACTCTCCCAACTGCTTTTGAAGCCTGGAAATCCAACAAACAGCACCTCTTCACTTCAGTGCTAGAGATCCAACAGATGTTGGACCATAACCCCTTAACTGATTTGACTACGAAGCAAAAGGGATCCTGTATAAGTGCTAGTGCAGTTCATAGGACGGACAGCAGATGGCAGCATTTAGTTTATAATTTAATCATAGGCCCGGGCCAGTGGCTGGGGCCAAGACAATCCTTGGCATTCATAAATTTTATGTAAATGTGTATTGATGTAACATGCCAATAATGTATAATGACGCCTAGAAGTTGTGGACCTGATGTTTTCAGATGGAGTGCTATTCCTGTCCTTCCAACACCCTGTTATCTGGTTACCCAGAAAAGCTGACTTGTCACTTTGCCTACAGGCGGGTGAAATCCTGGGGGCTGACCCCACATCTCAGGCCCAGAAGGTGTAGGAGGGCCCCACCTCTGTACACGAGCAACCTAGGGTAGCCTGAAGGATGCTAGGGGTCCGTAGGCTGCAGGCACTACCCAGGCAGCCCCTCCAGGTGGACGCCGCCTTCTCTCCGACACCGGTCTCACTGGAGCTTGCTGGATAGATCTGTCTGGTCTGGAATCAGCAATGCTCCTGTGTCAGTGTCTGAAGCGCTGGGATGGTAACTGTGTGCCATGACACCCCATTCTGAATTTCACGGCCAGGAGGGAGCCATTGCTCCTGGGGGACAAATGCCGTTTTCATGAACACACAGCATCTTTTTCGGTCTGAATCCATTCTACCCGTTGGTCATTACTTGCCATTACCTTCCGGGTTTCTTGCCCCACAGATGAAAGCTTTATGTTCATATTCTTATAAAGTCCTTGAAATGAAGCCGTATAATCCAGTCCCTACAAACCTCACCCACTCCAGCCGCTTTTACTCTCCCGAGCAAAGCTTCTCCATCCAGTTCCCACGCCTTCTCTGGGCATGTTCTTGTCCTCTTCTTACAGACAAGGAACTAGTGTGGGACAGTGAGTCCTCTTGGGGCAAGCCTAGGTTATCAGGGGACAGCCTCCGGCAGCCACAGCCTCAGCCCATTGTACTGCAGCAGAGGTGGCCAGCTCAGCAGGGAAGAAGCTGACCGTTTGTAAGGAGAAGTTGTGGGTCCTAGCACTGGCTGGGAACTCCGTGAAGCCACAGGGTCATGACGGCAGTGCTGGAGGAGACCCATCACCAACACAGAGTTCCTTAAACTCAGCTCTTGGGACCTCTCACCTCTCCAGAGCACCCTTGGTCAGTGTGTGTGTGTATGTGTGGGATTATTCCCAGAGCAGGTAGGCCCAGTTCCCTGCAGCTACCTGAGAGTAGCTACGAGTTCTCTGCCCTTTACATTTTTTAAAACGTTCATTTTTAACTAAACAAAATTTCTGTGTGGGTGGGTGCTCTGCCTGCATGTATTTCTGTGCGCCGTGGGTCATGCCTGGTGCCCACAGAGGCCAAAGGAAGATGTCAGAGTCCCTGGAACTGGAGTTACAGACAGCTGTGAGCCACTGTGTGGGTGCTGGGAATCAAACATGGGTCCTCCGGAACAGCAGCTAGTGCTCTCAACCACTGTTCACTACTTTTTAATTTTGTTTGTTCATTTAGTGTGTGTGTGTGTGTGTGTGTGTGTGTGTGTGTGTGCGCTCGCGTGTGTGCTGCACATGTGACACTGTGTGTGTAGAGGTCAGAGGAACACCTTCCAGAGCTGGTTCTTTCCCTTCCCCACTGTTGCTAAGGGCTGAATTCAGGTCATCGGATGTGGTGGCGGGGAAGCGCCTTTACCCCCTGAGCCGTCCCGCTGGCCTGAGCTCTCTGCTTGTTTGGTGCACTTCTGCTTGCGAGCCTTGGGGTGACAAAAAGCCTTGAGAACTATTCATCTACATCAACCGTTTCACTTGGCAGGGGACAAAAATGTAGGTCTGCCTACCTTCACAGGGGCATTCGGCGCCTTTTATCAGGAGGCTGGTCCCCAGAAAGGGGGGGAGGGAAAAAAAGAAAGAGCTGAGGTGGGAATTGGGAACCGAGCAGTTTGGCTTGCATGCTCTATTTTGGGCTTGGCCTCCCAGGCCTGGAGACAACGCGCAGATTGGTTTCTGGCAGGACCGTGACTGTGACCACAGTGAAGGGTCATGGGCTGCTGGGTCGGGGCCTGCAGCAGCCACTCTAAACAGCTACAGCTAGATAAATACAGCCGGGCAAGTGTGCAGGCTTGGACTCTATTACTGGCTATGATCTATGACACTAGAGCCTTCATTATGTTGGCAGCACTGACTATTTATATCCAACGGCCAGGAGGCCTCCTCTGAGCTCTGCTTGTCTTCCAGCGATCCAGAACAATGGCCAGCCTTTTCAAGGATCGGGAGAGGCCATGAACTGCTCTAGCATTGTGGTCCCACCTCTGCTGGCGCAGCTCGTCTTTCCGGAGACCCTTCCGCACCTCTGCCACCACCATCTCCCTTAGACTCGGGGACCGAAAAATGGCTCCGGCCCTTGACTGATCCATAAGGAGGCTTAATATAAGAGACCAGGGGAAAGCCAGCCTCCACAGTAAGCGATCCGGGAAGTGTTGAGAGGCTCATTCTGTGCCTGAGGTGAAGAGACCCTTGTGCAAAAGTCAGGGTCTGAAAGTGTGGTGTCGGTCGCTCTCCCTGCAAGGATGAAGCCCCACAGACAGCAGCTCTGTACCCAGGATGGCACTTACCTCCTCACCATTCTGGCCCAGCTCTACCTTTGGGGGGAACAGGGGGAGGGAGCAGGGCGGTTTCCTTCTTGTTGGTTTACTGGCTGGTGTCTAGAGGGAGAGTGACAGACGACACAGAGAGAAAAAGAGAGGCAGTGAATCGGGCAATAGGGAGGAAGAGGGAGGATCAGAAAACAGCATCAGGAATGGTTAGGGATGTCTAGAGGAGAAGAGGGTGGTGATGGGTCGGGCTGTCTAACGGACTGTCCGCCCGCTGTTTGAACTGGTGCTGTGCATCGCCAACCCATTATTTCAGCAACAATGTCCTCTTGTGCTTGAGCTCCCCTGATCTGAGCCAACCTCTCAAGATGACATCCACATTTTGCCTTTTTGGCCTCGAGGAAGAACTAGACCCTTAGATCAATGCCATCTCCTTTGTCCTTTAGAGCATTCCTCTCTAGATAGCATGGGTCGATTTTATTTCTAGTTGAGAAAACACAAGTGCAAAATCATGTACCTAAAAGAACAAGGCAGCTAAGGTGTCCTGGGATCCATGGGCCATGGCAGACCCCTTCGACTGCAGGAACTCTTCCTTCCTCTTTTGTTTTGCTGTTTGACAAAGGGTCTCCTGTAGCCTGGGCCTAGCCTTGAAGTCCTTTATGTAACTGAGAAAAACCTTGAACTATTTTTTTTTTTTTTGTTTGTTTGGTTTGGTTTGGTTTGGTTTGGCTTTTCGAGACAGACTGTTCTGGAATTTTTACTGTAGACCAAACTGGCCTCGAACTCGGAGAGATCCTCCTGCCTCTGTCTCCTGAGTGCTGGGATTAAAGCTGAGCTCACCACACCTGGCTGACCTTGAACTCTTGGCCCTCCTACCTCTAACACCAAGATTGTAGGCAAGCACCACACCTGCTATCCTCAGCTCACTTCTAGAGAAAGCCACACGCTACATGACTGAGACCACACGGTCCAAAGGCATAACACGTCTTTTAAAAAAATGATTTTTCTTCTTCTTCAGCAGGATTCTCCTAGAATCTCCTAGTCCCCAGTCCCTTTCTTCTACATTCCTGGTTAATTTTTGGAATGTGCTTCCTTCTAAATTCTCAGTTCTGGATTGAGGCTAGGAGCAGGAGCTGGGTGTGGGGATGTCTTTATCCTCTGAACCAGGGCAAAGGATGAAAGGGAATCCACACTGCCGGTTCTCACCCCTCCTCGCCACAGTGGGAGCCTCTGTGAAGGATTCTGCCCGAGAAGCCCGTGGTGGCACATTCCTCACATTCAGAGGGACCCTCTCTGGCTTCTCTTCCTAATTTGGTAATTGCCAAGGCTCCACTTGCCCTCCTTCTCCTCAGGGCCTGCCCGGCTTCCTCTTCCTCCAGTCCCCTCCCTGAAGAGGATGCAAGGACCTTCAGACTCACCGGGTCCCTGGCCACAGCTGCTTGCTCCCGAAACCGCCCCGCCAGCTGGGCCACCGAAGGCTGCGCTGAGCTGTCCACATTGGAGTTGGTCTCGGTGGCGGGTCTTTCCTGGAAAACACAGAGATGCAGACGGTAACCAGCAAGCAAGCAAGCATTTCCATTTTCAAAGGGTCCGCCCGGCTGCGGTGAGAGGCACCTGTTCTGTGGTCCCACCAGGAATTCTGGGATGAGATATTTTTAACAAGTATTCTGCAACTGGTTCCCATAGCCGAGATTAAGGACTAAACTATAACTTCTATACAGACCCACGAACTGTTCAGTGCATACATGTACGTAGTGATGTACTGGGGTTCTGTGTGTGCTGCTGGGGACAAACAAAACAAGGCCTTGTCCTAGACAGGAGCTGAGGATTGGAGGCAGTCAAGGCAAGGTCCCTCACTCTGCAAAGACCCCCCAGACATGGGAAGGATCAACAATAGCTTGCAAAACTCCTTCCCCTGCTTAGTGACTCTGAAAAGTGGGGGCACAGTGGGGATGCAAAATGCCTTTGGAACCAGGGTCTTTGAAGGGAATGGAGAGAGCATTCGCCCTTTCTAGAATTTTCACATCTGTTTTTCCTTCTTACCCGAATGTCTTAGGCAACAGTGACCATTTATTAAATGAACGAATGACCTGAGGGGCTGGAGCAGACAGGATAAGAAAGAGGCTGCTGGAACTCATCCAGAGCCTCGCTCCACCTCTCTCATTGCTTCAGCCGTCCCAGCCTTGCAGGACCTGAGTTTGGTGACTGACTCTATCATGGTCAGGGAGCAGGGTTGCTGTTATCATGACTGGCTGTGGGTCTGGCCTCCAGTTCTGGACATCAGTTCATTGATGCTTCAGGCCAAGATGCCTGACGGGCATGGTCCATCTCGTGTGCCACTTGTCACCATGACACGGAGGGTGAGTTACTGACCCTTGGAATGGCATCTCATGTCTGCTACATCCACATGATCATACACACAATAACCGGGGCTGTTTGGTTTTGTTTTCGAGACAGGGTTTCTCTGTGTAGCCTTGGCTGTCCTGGACTCTCTTTGTAGACCAGGCTGGCCAAGAACTTACAGAGATCCGCCTGCCTCTGCCTCCCTGAGTGCTGGGATTACAAACATGCACTACCATGCCTGACAATGACCTAGATTTGAATCTACTTAGACTGCTGAAGCAGCTCGAGAGGTAGACTGAGTGTCTGGGAGAGACCCAGAGGCCCCCTTCTCACCATGTTTACTACTTGCTGGAGTCAGGTCCTTCTTTCAGTTGGTCCCTGGAATCGAACCCTGGTTTTTAGGCTTGGTGGCAAGCACCTTTACCTCCTGAGCCGTCTTGCTGGCCCCTCCTCTTGGTCTTATGTGTTCAATCCTAGAGCTATCGGGCTTTTGCTTTTTAGTCCCCATAATGGTGACATTTTAAAAACATAGGCAGAGAAGTTTATCACTCTCCCTCTGTCCTGGGAGGCTTGGGCAGCAGTTTTAGGAAGTCTGTCTCTGCCTCTCCGTGGCTCTCATGGCCTCTGAGATGGATCATGTCCATCACTCCCAGCAGTGAGCCTGTGTCTGTGCCACATATAGCCCTGTGCACAGACAACTCCCATGACCCTCCTTTTTGTGCTAAAAGTGTCTCCAAGTTTTTTTTTTTTTTTTAATTTGGCCCAGTCACCTCCTGGCAATCAAGTGGAGTAAACAGAGCTGGTTGGAAAGGAGAGTTGTGCCGAGGTAGGAAAGAATGAATGGAGTCTTAGGCCTCCTGATGTGAGTGGTTGTTCTGGGGCCAAAATCAGGTACTTCATTCCTGTTGCCTCTGTCTCTCAAGTTCGCCCCCATTCCAGTCTAAACACCAAGGTTGACTTCATGTGATTCACCTCTATCCAAGATGCAGATTTTTTTTTTTTCCAAGTTGCTGGGAAAGCCCTGGAAGCCTGACTCGCCATCCCAAGAGGTTGCTAAATGGGCTCAGGATTGGCCCCTGTCTTATTATTCCACTGGTCTCATGAGTAGAGGCCAAAGACCCGTGTCTCGATGTCCCGGAGGATCGTAAAGGCTTTAGGGACAGAGTGTGGTGAATTGAGCTGCCCTTGGCAAAGGTGTGGGACGATCGGTTTGTCCATCCATCTTGCTTCCTGACACACACCAGCATGGCCTCTGTCCACTGCTATTCATTGCTCTGGCCCTGCTGACGTTGCACTCTCCCCCAGCTTCCCAGGCGCTGATGGCTGGTGGGGCAGGGAGAGGCATTTCAGTTAAAAATAGAGCTATACGGGGATAAAAAATGCCGGAACTTCCCTATCTCAAGACTGTGTTTGGCAAGGGGCTCTCAGGCAGGGGAAACACTTTGAGCTTGGGTGAAAGGAAAGATTCTAACACAGACTTTGCTTTCTTTAGGCTCCTAGGTAATGAGTTTTCCTTAGCTGGCAAAGCTTCTCACCCCCACCTATCTCCAGAACACCTCCTTTCTGAGATTTAAGAACACTGAGAGATGATTGCTCGCTGCCCTCAGGGCACACTGAAGCCCAGAGATGCACATCATTTAGCCAAAGAAACACAGGAGAAACAAAGTAGAATTAATAGAAACACTCGACCCTGACATCCAACAAAGGCCACGAGTTAAGCGGCTTTCCTCTGAAAGGTGCTATAAGAAGCATAAAGGGCTATTATGTAAGTATCAAAATTATTATTAGCCTCCGAGCTGCACAGAGGCAATGGCAGAAGCGTGACCCTCAGGCTCAGCCCGTGTGAGGCTTTGCATCCGTGTCTGCATTGCAATTCTAGCCACAAAGCTCCTTCAGTGGGCACAGCAACACCTTGCAAGCCCATCCCAGGCTGGAGCTCACACTGGGCCTTGAGGTTATCCATAAGGCCACACTCCCACTGTCCCCTGTACTGTCCCCCTGCACCATGAGGTCTACGAAAACCAAGTTCCTCTCAAATGCACTGTGTAGCTGAGGGTGCTCTTGAACCTTTTGCTTCCTCTCCCCAAGTGCCGAGATTACAAGTGTCCACCACGATGCCCAGTTTTATGCAGCCCTGGGGACTGAACCCAGGGTTTCGTGCCTGCTAGGCCAGCCCTCTACCAGCTGAGCCACACTTGTAGCCCATATATTCCTGGTTCTAAGAAAGACTTCACCATCTCTGCCTCCTTCTAGGCATTTCCAGGACTCTCAGCCTCTCTGGATAAATATCTTTTTTTTTTTTTTTTTCTGGTTGATAAATTAGTCAGCACTGGGCTTGAAAGGTAGAATGTGCTCGTTGGAGCTTGGTTCCTTTGTCCCCATCTGCCAGTGCGGGACATGGGCACCTGCTCCCACAGTCACTGACACCCTTAATTCACTCTCTGGATCACGCCCAGTTGCAGCCCCAGCCTCCACGGCATCCCTTTGGGCCCAAATCTTCCTTGCTATACCCTGCTTTCAGTTGGCAGAGGCAGGCAGATCTCTGGGTTTAAGGGCAGCCTGGTCTACAGAATGAGTTCTAGGACAGCCAGGGCTATACAGGGAAACCCTGTCTTTGAAAAGAAAAAAAAAAAAAAAAAAAGACTCTGCCAAGGCCAGGAGAAAATCACCTGTGGTGTTTTCTTTCCGAATCTGTGGGATTTTCTGAGAACGGAGGAGCCTCTGTCTAGACTCCTGTGTGGAACTTTCCTGGACGCTGTTACCATGCTGAGTAAATAAATTTGGAGGCTGCTGACCGTCTGCATAGTAGACTCTTTGTGCATGGGCCAGAGGAAGGCTGTGCTACCTCCCTGGCTCTACCTTGCTTCCCCACCCTCCTTGTTGTTTCAAATTCAAAGTGTCTAACAGCCTCTGGGACACAGTTTAGGGCAAAGAGGCATGAAGGGAAGCCTGGTAGTGTATGGCCATGAGAGGGCTGTGCCTGAGGGTGGGAGGAACTTTGGCTCTTAGCCAATAAGAAGGCTCCTTGCTCATTAGACCAGTGAACCCAGAGCCTCAAAGCTATGAAAGATGCTTGCTTCTTTGGTTCCCCAGAAAGGAAAAGGACCTTAAGAGAGCGCTGCCTCCCAGAAGAGTAGCCAACTCTTACAAAGGCTTCATCATCGCTTGAGAAGGATCAGCATGGTCCTAGGGTGTTCTCTTTGTTCCTAACTCTTCAGTTTATCCCAGTGTTTCCCTTACTGCCATCCTAGGATAATGGAGAGGCGGCTGGTCCAGAATAGGCAGGTCCATTATCCTACCTGCCTGTAAGAAAAATGCTGTTCTCAGGGCAACCGCACTGCTGTGCGATTCTTACCTCTTCTAGAGAAGATTGGAACTGTTGGCTATAGAGTAACTTTCCGTTAAGGGAGTAAGTACTGGTGCCGGAACCACCTGGGTTCTGGGGTGCCAGCTTTCCCCACACCCCAGGTCTCACTAACCCTACCCCTTCACTGGAGGGTGTGTCTCAGGCTCCGCTCACCAACAGACACCATTCTAAGCTCGGAGTGTAGCAGTGAATAGGGTAGAACGGTTGCCCTTCTGGAATTTCTACTCCTGTGAGAGAAAGCAACAACAAAGATGCAGATAGATGAACCACAAGGCGATTTGTTAAGAGATTCGACCGAGCACATCTGTTAAATCCTAGGAGGGAAAAGACAGGAAGGGGAGGTGTGCTGAACAGAAGTACAAACACTAACAGGATGAAGGACAGCAGAGGTAAGCGAGGCAGGGATGATCTGGATTCCAGATTAGGGTGGGAAGGCAAGGGATAGGTCCGCGTGAGCCTGCGGCTGGCCCCGTGTAACTGTAACAGGCTGTTCGTGTTTCTTTCTTAGTGTGGCGGCTACATGTGGAAGATGAACCGAAATGAGACCGAAGGCAGGTGCTTGCAGGTGCTGGCTTGCTAGCTAGGAGGCGACAGTGGAGTGGACAGGAGGTCAGGGGAGAAAAGAGCAGCCAGGAGAAGTGGAGAAAATAGATTCTGAAGGCAAAACTGGTGGAATTACTGAAGAAGCGAGGGACAGAGTGGAATAGAAAAGTGATGCCTGGGCTTTTGTAATGGACAATGAGACACCCAAAGTATCTTTGGGTTGGAGAAATCTGGTTGAGGAAGGAGGAGTGGGCGGGGTAGATGGGGAGGGAA